AATTCTTGAAAAAGATCATAGAAATCTATTGTGACGGGAGGAACTCCAGCACAAATGTATTGATCTAACTCGGTAGAGACTCGCTACGTCTCTATTTTTTAATATAGATCTCTGAAAAATTAAGAAAATGATCAAATTGAATTAAATTAGTTGTCATGAATACTCTTCATTTTCAGATAAATCAACATGGCTTTTATGCTTGAAGTTGTCAATCTTAAGTGTAAGTGTTAATTATTCTTTTTTTCGAATTATAATAACAATATAATTTATCAAGGAAAAACTTTCTTCAGTGAACATTATTTGTGACTTCTTTTATTTGTTTTACGTTCTAGCTGAATCTAAATGTAGTGATTGTCTATCAGCTGAAGCAAACTATTGGTGTGATAATTGTCGTAATCACTATTGCTCAACCTGTTGTATCGAAATTCATAAACGACGTGCTTTTTGTCACCATCAAACCACGGCTATACTGAAGGAAGCGCACGAAAGTAGTCAGTGCCAAATACACACCGATCAGATCGTCAAATATTGGTGTACTAACTGTCAGACATTTGCTTGTCTTGATTGTATTATGTTTGAACATAAAAATCATACTTATACTCTGATCGAAACCATAGCAAAAGACATGTCAACAAAGGTCACTAAACAATTAAATTCTTTCGTAAATTTCATATTACTTACTTCGTTAATTTTAGTTGAAGAGTAAACTAGACAGAGTTCAGTCATCTTTGGATGATAGTTTGAAAAATACACCGAAAATGATTGATACTAATGAAGCAAACAATACAGAAATCATTACGAATTTTTTCACAATATTACGTAAAGTAATAGATGTAGAAGAAAAGGCATTAAAACAACGAATTTACGACATTGAAGAAAAGAACAAACAATCAGTGGAAGAATATCATATGGCACTAATCAACACAGGGAAACGTTTAGATGAACAAAAAAGTTCATTAGACTCGATGACTTCAACCAATAATCATATTAAATTATTGCAAAATAAGGATCAATTAACAACTAATTTCGATAATATTAGTCAACAATTAGATGAATTAAAATCACCAAATAGAACAGAATGTCGCATTGAAGGTCTCGATCAACTACTAACGCATGTTGATACTATGGTACAACAAATTGGTCGTATCATACAGATATCAGGTATGTTCTTAGTTAACGAAGCGATACCTTTTGCTTGATTATCTGCTAAGAAATACATTGGAGACATTTTTATTTAGAATCGAAACAATCGAATAATGCACCGACACCTACACCAAACAAACTTCGATGTTTTGATCATTCAGATATGAACAGATTTTTATGGTCTGACTCTGAACGATTATATACTATCGAATAAAACAAGCTATCTGAATAAAATGTTGCGGGTCATGCTTGTACTACTTACCAGAAATGTGCGGATTGGATATTGGACATAAAAACAAAAGAATGGAATAGAATGATTCATTGTCTTCGAAACCATCTTCGACTATATTCAATGCTCATTGATACTTGAAACTGAGAAACATTTAAATATAAATTCATCGTGAAGAATAGTCGTTTTTCATGTTATCGTCAGTGTAAATGTCAGAATGAAGAACTTGTTTGAAACTGAGCAAATTGATGAACAATTCTTTGCTCCAAATAGTTCCTATTCTTTTGATGATGTGATAGTCGTACCTGCAATAGATTTGAAATGATGATTTCGTTTTTGACACGATAAGTGAACAGATATGTGCAACATGTGACTGGAATTCTAAGACAAATACAACTGTCGTGTTATCCATTAAAAAAACAATCAGAGAGAATCTGTTCATTTATTTAAAACAAAATAGATGAATAAAATCATCTACCTAAGTACCATGGTCTTCTTCCGTGGCATTATCTTTGCCACTGTCATATACCAAAATAAAAGATGGACGATTAGCCTAGCTAAACATTCAAGCTAATGATTGACAAAGACAAACATATGATTTTCTTTCTTTTTTAATAATATAATAATAAATTTTTGTTTTCTTCTGCAATAAAAGTATCCATTTAAGACTTCGATTGAGAGTCAGGACTCCAGTGAAGAAATTATTTAGATAGGACGTCCTCGATGGGAAAAATCAGGACGCTGTATAGCATGTTGCTGTATCGAACTGTATATGAGTTTACAAAAAATTGGAGAAAAAACCACTTTTCAGTCTTAGATACTTTCGTGAGGGATGGATATGGGTGATATAAATCGAATACACTCACACCCTCATTTCGAACTTTTTTCTGGAAATTCTTGAAATTATTTTTTAAAAAATGAATTAAAGACTTAGTTCAGTATAAAACTACGTTTATAGTTATTATCAATATTGATCATTTTAGTTTATTTATAAAACCTTTATAAAACAATGAATAAGCTTTATTTTTTGTAAATCTATTAATGATAGTACAATTCAATAAATCTTCTATACAAAATTACTTTATCAAATTTAAAAAATATCTATATATAACATTATTAGCAATAGAGATAATATAAACAAAAAATATTTGTACGACCTGATGTGAAGAAAAGAGTACTCAAATATAAATTTTTATGTTTATATTACCATTATTATACGAATTACTTTTCACAGTTATGTCATGGTACACTTGAAATTATTTCGATATGAAAAAAGCTTTAATTAGTGCAAATAATTTTTTTTATATTTTCTTTTGAAATTATTATTTAAACTAATATGCATTGTTTTCCTTATACTAAAATATAGGTTTAGTTGCAGTTATTGTCATTATTTAAATTTAAAGAGAATATAATAAGATATATTAGATATGTACTGTATTAAATAAGAGTTTTACACTTTAATTATTAAATGAAATGATGTAATCAAATATTTATAGAAATAAATAAATTAGAAACAAATATGTTCAGTTCTTATTCAATTTTCTCAACTGTCTATATATCTGTTTATTGAATTAATTGAAAAGTCTATATCTAACTGTCAAGAGTAGTTGTCTCAATATTCAGCATGTAGTAATAAATAATTTCGATAAATGTTTTATTATAATACTGATCAAACTTTGATAATGGTGTAGTGATTCATTTAAACCTAAACTAACAAAATATATGACTAAATTCTATATGCAGAAAAATTACATTATTCATGAAATATGATTTTTATAGAATATAATTATATGTGCAAATTGATGTTAGATGTATTCACATATTCAATTGTACAATATAAAAATAGTTAATCCTAACATTTTATTTTGAGCGTATACTAGTTTATTAATGATAATTCTGCTAATTAAATACTTTGTCAAACAGTTTGCATATGACTTTATTTATCGAAATAATAACACAACCGTTGAGACTATAGCTATCATATAGTAACTATATGACAGATAAACAGATATATCTAAATTTCCATTTCTAATCTTATCATCTAGGGTATATGTATATTTTAATGATAATAACGAATTTTTTAAATAATTTCTGTTAAATCAAGAACAGCACGTCCACATATAAATATTTTTTCTCTTATCATACTTCATATTCATTCCATCACATATGATCACTACTTTTTCTAGGTTCCAAATACTTATTGTGTCTGTTTTAGAAGCAGATATTATATACGAAGTAAGTTGATTTTATTTAAAGAATAACGAAGAAAAAATAATAATTAAAAGTAAAATTCTTGAACAATTTGTTATTTTGTTTTATTATAGGAGAAGACCACCGGTAGAGAACATTACCAGCAAAGAAAAAAAGTACAACAAACAAAAAAAAAGTAATATGAATAAAAAAGAAGAACTAAACAAAAATTGGTGTTGTTTCACGTTTTGGTGCTACAACAAAAAACAAGCTTATATTTTACAAGAAAAAATAACTTTTTGAGGGTGGATGCGATTGATAGACCGAAACTCACAATCACACCCGCACCCACCACCCGGATGTATAAAAAAATAACAAATCTTATGCTTACTTCGTTTATTCGCCATCTTTTTCGCGTTCACCTCGCCACTCTTTGTGCGTATCGAGCACGTCGCCCATTTTCATATTCACAACATCACCACGTTGCTGACGTTCACTATCCGTCGTTGCTGCACGAACAGCTATTTGACTTTAAGCCAATTCTGCTTCTACTATTCTTGCTTCTTTCGCAAACTCTTCTTTCTAAAAGATTCACATAATTGTAAATCGTGAAAAGTTTAGTTTTATCTGAAAAAAAAGCTAAACTGATTAAAAAGTGTGGGTTTAACAAATACTCACGAATAATGTACACCATTTAATCTTTAACCATCAGTATATATACACGTATTCGTTTTATCTCGTTCTCCTCCTTTTTGTTATTTCATTCAGTCATTCCTTTCTTTCTCAAATTTTCACATAGCGAATTTTTCTTATATTTTTGTAATAGGTATCAGATGATCTAGACATTAAAAATACATATGAATAATAAAATTAATCTAACGTAAAAAAGAGTGTGTTGATCGGTTATGAGATGATAAGCACCCATACACATATATTGCATTTTTTATCTTTCTAATTAAAATTAAATAAATTTCTATTCAATACAGCTTATCTCAATTATCTTATCGAACTTCTTTATTCACTATAAATTAAATCAAATAAATAACTTACGAATACTCCGGAATATAAACCATGAAGTGAATCAAACCAGAAATTCTTTCCATCTCAAAATGAGTTAGTTCACTTAGTACACAAAGACTTGCATGTCCACATGCTCTATCTTTCGATGGATCTTTTGCCGTATAACCCTAAATAAATCGTGTGAAAAAAATAAATAAAAGAGTAGATAGAGATTCCTTACTCTATCTAAAATTTGCATAAAACGATCATAAGTGGAATTGTTTTATTTAAAGTAAGACATTGTGTGCCAAACAAATTAGTTACGTCGATACCTATCATGCGAGGCTAAAAAAAGATGGAAAATATACAAACTGAAAAATAAAATGAGTCTCACTCGGAATGCAGCCCCATCAACTACTAAGAAAGCTCGTAAAATCTTTTATATTCATCATGAGACATTGTGCCGGCTTGTCACAAATTGCTGCTATAGGGAATGCATGAAAATATGCATAGATGTTTCTATAACTTTTGCCAGCAGTTGGTAGTAAAACATCAAAACCGATCATTTCAAGCAGTTTCAACTCATTCATTATATCCTTTTCGATAATTGCATATTCTTCTTTCTTAGGTTTTTCGTCTTCGGTTGATATAGAACAAATCAACATATTGTTAATTTCAAAACGTTTCGTACGAGGTAATTCATTAATACAAGCACATGTAATCCAAAGAGAGCGACATATTCTTTTGATTGGTGCACCGTCGTTGTGTAATGTGAGAGTAATTGAATTTCTCTCAGGATGTATTTGTTTTTCTTTTATCAATTATCTGTTTGTGAGAAGTAGCGGATTCACAACTACTTGAATTACATTTAAAAGCATTCGAGCATTTATTACCACATGATGGACAAATAAATGTATAATCGCCGTCAAGTAAAGTAGGATTTTTGTTTTTAAACAAGGCATCACTTCACGAAAACCTTTAGGCATGTTTGGTATATCAAATCTGTTTAATATTCGACAAATATCTTTTGCTATTGCTTTATTAAGACAATGTCTTTTCCAAGTAAAAAGTAGCATCACTGAAAGTTCAGTAGCATTAGGTAATCTTTCATTGTAAAATTCACTATGAAATACATTGCACAGAAATTCAGGAATTTCTCCTGTATCAGCATCATTAGTAGACAAAATATTATCACTGTTTTCAAATAAATATTCATCGGCTGTTGAACTTAAAATCGAATCTAATGCTATATTATATTTGTCTTGTCTTCTTGTTATTGTTGGAGTATCTGAGAAAATCATCTGCTGTTCTGAATTGAATGAGCTTCACTGCTTCTAAAAAACTCCAATAATACAGAAAGAAAAAAGAAGAAATAATAGAAAATACCTACAGTCCATTGCTATCATCATCTTTTGTCGTCATTTTTGTTATATCTAAACGTTTCTTTTTCCGAATACGGGGTCGATAACGACTGAATCTAGATTTTTGATTCATTAACATCTCTATTTCTTCATCATCTTCGTCACTCATCTGAAAGTAAATTTTTCTTCCATATCTCCTTAAATACAAAATTAAAAATGCAATTCATTTGTGCATGTATATAATGTTTTGGTTTGAAAAAGATAAAGAAAAAAGTATGACATCCTAATAAAGTGCAAAAGAAAAAACGTATTGGTTTCGCTTAGAAATAGAAATAATAACAACGATTAGAAATGAAATATTAACGATGAGAAAAAAATCGACGATTGAATACTTCATATGAATAGTTTTAACAATAAAAATAATTAAAAGCTTAAAATTTAAAATAATAGAAGAATAATTTTATCCTTCATCATTACTTAAATAGTCAATCAAGCTATTATTTAACGGACGTATTTGTAAACCATTAGTATGGGTGTGAGATAAAAAAGCGAGTCTCACCCATACTAACCCACACCCTTCGCGTGTTAGTTCCAGTTCTCAATGGCTTCAGAATATGGGTTTTTACCAAGATCAGATCATAGATTCAGACGAGGATTGGTTAAGGGTCTAGCGATACACTAGATCCAGTGATATGATTTGCTAAAAGGTTGAGTTTCTGTCTGTACTAATTGTATGCGTTGACATCAAGATATGAATGGCGATTCGTTGATAATTTGTGCATGCGTTTGGTTCATTGATTCGGATGGAGTTACTGTTGGTGTATTTGCGAAAGATAAATGCTTTTGTGCCACTTTGTCTTCACTCATATCAACATTCTCACACTACCTACACGCACCTTCAAATTCGCCGAATATTCATATGCAAATCTCTGTCACCGAAATAAGTTGGCAATTTATGTTTGTAAAATTCTTTCCAACGAAGAAAAAGATGAGTAACAATTGATAGTTTTATCAGTCAACATTCATGACTTTTGTCCTCAGAACATAACAGCGTTATCTTATAACGTCTTTTATAATGTGAATCGGCGAGATTTTACCAAGTGCAAAGTGTAGTCAAAATAAATAGAATATTCTATCTTACTCATCTGACTTTAACTAAAGATAATTTTTTTTCGACGAAAACGACAGAAAATAGTATAAAAGCCTCAATTGAATTCGCATAAAACATGAGAATTTAAGTTTCACAATGAATTGTCGAATTTTAGTTTTTACTTTATTCAGTCTCTTTCAAGCTCATGTTGGTGAAGTCGAAAGTCTTAAAGTTGATATTTATCCAGGTTATGGTTGGGATAATTTACGATATCTCGACATGAATCCAATTTATGATGTATCAAATTTGAATGATTCGTGGATATTTCAATCTTGTATTGAACTTATTCCAATTCGTCAAAATAAACTGTCATTAGGCTCTGAAGTTATTGATGTATTTGATTCTCGAACTCATGATTATTCGTCAAATACAATGATCAGTGCTAAAGGTGGTTATCTTACATTTCGGATTGGTGGTTCTTATTCATATGAATACCAAAATGTTAAAAGACAACAAGGTGAAGAACAAACAATAACTCTACGAAATCAAATTGAATATCTTATGGTTGATGTTTTACTTAAACCATCATGTCCATTGAATCCACAAGTGAAAAATGATCTTATTGAAATCGCTGGATATATAGAAAATGAAGAAACAGCAATGGCTACATATGCCGCACAACTCTTTGTTAAAAATTATGGAACACATTTTACCAATCGAATACATTTAGGTGGTTCTCTTATTGAAGAAGATTTTATACTTCATGATAACTTCCAATCAAATGAAGAAACAAGACGCAGTTATCGTGCAACAGCCGAAGCATCCTTTATGAATACATTTAGCATATCGGGAAAATTTTCTACTAGTTCAACAACTATTGATAATAGTACAGAAGGTTTCAAAAAGATGATCACAAGGAAAATAGTTCATACTAGAGGTGGAGTTGTATCTTTATTAGAAAATTCAATGAACACTTGGCAAACATCAGTTGAAGCTAATCCAGTTATTATTCGACGTGCTGTAGAAAATATAACATTTTTTATTGATTCACACAAAATTCCTGAACTATCTGAGGTTGCTTTGATGCGTGTTATTGAAAAAATTGATCAAGCAGTTGAAACATATATTCAAATGAATGTTTATAGTGGATGTATGAATCGAAGTTCACCATCTTTCACTTGGATTGCTAATGTTGATGATGATTCTTGTTTACCAGCTGGAATTAATTCACAATTTGGAGGATTTATTCGTACTTGTACTGAAAATAGTCGTTTACCACAGTAAGTCATTCATATTCAAATTATTATTTTCTCATTTCTTTTGTTTTTTTATTAAATTTAGAAAATGCAGTGAATATAAGATGAACAATTTTTATACTCAAACAGAAGAATGTCCATTAGGTTTCGATAAATATCTTCTTCATCAATCAACTCAAAGTGAAACTGTATATAGACGTGAATGTAGATCTTGTAAATTTCATACAAGACGTTGTTGTGATGATATTCCTGATGGTGTTGGTCAACGCGAAATCAAATTATATGTTTGTAATAGTAAAACGAAGTTACGTGATTCATCATCGGGACTCTTATCGGTTTCGAATAGATATGTTTATGGTGGTTCATTTACATCAGTAAGAGTCAATCCAATTACTGGAACTTATAAATGTCCAAATGATCAGTTTAAAATGGTTCAAGTAACTTCTGATTTAAAAATATGTTTAGCGGATCAAGTAATAGATACAAGTAATTTACCTCATTATGGTGGCATGTTCTCATGTTCTCAAGGAAATGTTTTACTACCTTCCGTTGAAAAAGAATGTGCAGAAGGTTATAGCTCATATGTCATGAGTGCCATTGAAGATAGTTGTCTTTTATATGTATGTTTAAAATTTGAAAAATCTCCAGAAGTTCAACAATTACCATCAGTTGTTTTACCACCATTTTTTTCCATTTCGTTAAAAAACCAAAGCAAACCAGTCGTCAATTTAACAAATATGCCAGATTCATATATTTCTACAACAACAACTACTACTCCATCTACAACGAAAGTTGATAATAAAATATTGGGTATTTCTATCGCAAGTTTGTTGGTTACAATGCTTATCGCTATTGCTTTCATTATTTTTCTTGTACGAACTAAAAGACGTTATGGTGCTTATTAGACATATAGTCACTTAATCAAAACACAATCTTGTATTCATTAAATTTTCATAAATAAATATCTTTAAACCAGATACACTATGTGTGTGAGGATTCAGAAGATAAGATAAAAAAAGAAAGAGAATTCAAATGATTTAATCAAACAAAATGAATAATATTTTTTACTTTGGTCTTGAGGGTGTGGGTGTGGATTTGAGTGTGGGTGAGGATATGGATGTGGGTGTGAAAGTGTGGGTATGGGTTTGGGTGCAATAAATAAGATACACCCACGCACATACACAAATTCACATTTAGACACATCCATATTCACACTCATCCTTCGGAAAAGCGATACGAAAAGTCATTCGCTTAGTCTCTTATACCGTATGACGATCGTATTCTCGGAATTAGATAGGATTAATTCCGGGCCGCAACTGATTTCGTAATATTCAACATTTTGGAATAGGATGACTGCTCCTACATCCTCACGTTTACTCACTTCTATACCCTCCAGATGGATCCTTGAGACTCTTTAGGATCTACCGAAATTCATAGGATCCGCTTTTTTCCCTGAATAGACAAAAAATTTATCTTGGAAGAAAACTTCATTTTCTTACTCTTTTATTATCTATGATTTATAAAACCAAGCACGAGTATGAATGAAACTATTATCTTATTCAGAAAATTATTTATCCAGTACAGATGTTTTTCACAAAAATGAACTGTCCACAGTGAACATCATTCATCATCAATGATAAACCCAAGAATTTTATTTTATTTAACAGAAAAATGTACAAAAAGACATTGATCAATATCTTTTATGTTTTAATAACATAGATTTAATAAAGATGAACATTTTCTGTTAAAAAAACAAGTTTTGGTATATTATACAAAAAGGAGAAAAAAATAAGTATTCTGAGTGAAGTATACAAAAACAAATCAAAAAGAAATTGAATACAATATAAAATCATATATAGACAGGTGTCTGAGAAGGATGAGAGATGAGAAAAAAAGTTGTTGATGGTTTGATGATGATGAATATAATTCATATGCGCATAAGCCAATAACGTACTTATGTCATGCACAAGAAATTCTCATGCGCAATTGATGACGTGCTTTTATATGTGTAGATAAATAATATATAAATGATCGATGAAAGAAAATTTATTTTGAAGAGGCATTACAATAACACGCCCATTAAATTAACCATCAATCATATTTTGTTTTTTTTATTTCTTTAAGATTGGCTTCCATTTTCGAGTGACTTCATATGAATATAGAAGAAAATCGACCGAACTAAAAACTCTTCAAGGGTGGGTGTGAACGTAGATCTGAATATCTGGTATACATGAAAATCATATTAACAACCACACCCACACCCACTCTTTAAAATCAAAGAATTTATAAATAAAATAAAATAAATGTATAACTCTTAAAATATTCTCGAAATATTTTCATCATAAACTAATCAATTGTAATAAAAAAATCTTTATTTTCTCTTCTCTAGTAATAAGAAATAAAATGAATGAGAAATACATAACAGCATTTCTTATTCAAAAAATATCAATCAACTTCAAAGATTTTATGATAAAAAGAAAAATATTAATTCAATTGAAATTAACAATTTTCTAAAAGCATACTGAAAGATGAATTAAAAGTTTCTCTCAAAACAAAATGAGATGCACGAGTACGAATGAGATAGTATCTTGGAGCTTGATGAAAAAGAATATAGAAAAACATGAATTCGCTCAAAAATCGTAGAAGTAATGAGATAATGAGTACCAATTCCAGTAATTCTCAGAACTAAGACATGCTCATGTAGTCTTTGTTGAGCGGCATAAAAGTTCAAAATATGATTTATAATTTTATCTAAATCATGCTTGTACTTTTTTTTCTATATGTTAAACACCTACGTGTATATTCTTTACTTATTCTAATCTTGTATGATTGATGAATCTGGAAGCAAAATCATGATTTTACTTTTCCTGACGTTATTAGAAATACTTTCATTTATTAAGTTTAAAATGAATAATAATCAAATAGACAAATATTTTTCTCTTATTTTATGCGTCTCCAACTTTGTTTTTCTTCATTTTGATTCTCAATCGACTCAAGTAAGTGTTTGATATCAAAAACTCTCACATCTTCATGCTATGATTCTCTAGATATTATATTGCCTTTAAATCTAAAATAGTGATATTTAATATAACAAAGTGATGAAATAGCGAAGCAATGAGATATTGATTGACAATAGTAGCATTTTTTTCATGGAAGTTTTTATTTTATATTCAGAATAATCAAAAATCATCATTTACAAGTGATATTTATTATACTATGTCAAATGCCCTCTTTAAAAGAATACTTTCTGAATTTAAATTTATTTTTACCATCATCCAATTCTAATGAACAAGAAAATGATCAACAACGTCGATGGAATATTATTGGTACGCGAATTTATATTGTACTTATTATACTCATTCTTTTTATTGTTGGTCTTATTTTACTATTACTTGAACAACGGGTGATGGTTACTATACCAAATCCAACAAAAGACCAGTTTGAAGATCTGCCTAACAATGCAAAATGTTCATGTTCTCATATTTCTATTCCATATGCGAAATTTTTGTCATTGAAAACAAATTTTCATCAAGTTTGTTTAAGTGATTTTATTACTCACCGATAACTAAATGCAATTGATTCGAAAACAAATACAACTTATTTTGCTTTTCAAGACTTTCGACGTTTTGGTAATGCTCAGTTTCAAGCACTTGCTGCTTATTGTCGTTTGTCAAAATCATATACTAATCAAAGTGTTTATGCCGTTTTACAAAATACATTACTAAGTCCACAAATCTTATCAAACACATCTCTGCAATCATACATCAATGCAGCAATTGAACAATTCAAACTAAAAACACCAAATACTTTTAATATTCAACTAAAATTAATCATCAATATGACAAACGCCAATGCATTAATACCTGGAGTACAAACTAGCATATATTTTGAACGTACTTACGGGATACCTGAACCAAATATACACCTATACCCACAAAAGGATGGTTCTTATTGTGATTGCCTACAAAACGTTTGTAATCAAACAGAATCAGGTATTGTCAATCAATTTGGAAGACAGCATATGCCTGAGACCATATATAATAATTTTACATGGTCTATACCAGGAATGTCAACAGGTTGTTTTCCAGGATTTACACTTCTACTGTCGACACTTGAATGTTTCTACAATCAAACATGTGTAGACAGACTTATTTCATATTTTCCAACAAGTGACAATTTCACCGCGATGATTATAAATAATGAAAGTTTATATAAACCAACATCAACTGTCCAATCAATAATTGATGATTTGATGATTGAAAATTGGACAATGAATATTTTTTATGATAAATATTATTCAGAATGTGCACCATCTTCATGTACTTATTTGAAAACATTTCGACGAGATTTTGTTCATGTCTTGAAAAAATTGATTAGTTTATTGTCTAGTTTGACATTATTATTGGGATTAATAATTCCGCTTGTTATTCAATTTATTATGAAACGACGCGAACGAACACCAGAACCACGAATTGGTTGTAAGTAGAAGTTACTATCAATGAGAAAGTAAAAAGTAACAAAATAGAAAAAGATGAAAAAGCGTAAGTCAAGCATAAAAAAAAGAGTTGATAATTTTAATTATGACAAGAGTTAAAAGAAATTGATGTTGTACATTTTGATAAAATAAAATCATATTTTTTCTCTTCATATTTAGTCAAAAATCGTTTATATCAATTTAAAGAAACTATTCAAAAGAAATTAATTGAATTGAACATTTTCAAACATTCTTCTAATACAGACCGACAAATGAAATTTCAACGTTATGCAACACGATTGTATTTATTTTCTCTCATTGCTTCAATGATAATTATAGCTACTTATGTATTTTTACAAAAATCAATTCAATCAAAAACGATTTCTTTTCCTACTGAATCGCAGTTTATTCAACTTCAACAAAAATATTCTCAATCACTTTCATGTCCATGCAGCTCAATATCAGTATCTTATTCAAATTTTACAACAATTCAACCACAATATCATCAATTATGTCAAAGTGATCTCATTTCCGCAGAATGGATTCATTACATCAAGGAAAGTTTTAGTCGAATGTTCGCACTTCAACATGATTATCGAAGAATATCTAGTGGTTATTTTCATATATTATCACTATTTTGTGAACAAGCAAAAGACACCATTGTTAATGCACTTGAGATTTTTCTCAGAACGGAATACGTTAGTTCACAAGTTGTTGGACAAGAATCGTTTGAAAATGAAATAAATTCATCAATTGAAGCTTGGAAATTAACAACGACAAACACTTTTAAAAGAACTATTCAATTAATTCAACAAATTTATCAGGGAAATCAATTGATTAATGAGAAACAGACCGATACTTTTAAAGTAGATGGAAATTTAAAAGTATATCTAAACTCAAAAACAAAGCAAGGATGTGATTGTATTTTATCTTCATCCTGTTATTCTACTGTTGAACTTTATCGTACTATTAAAAATAATATATACTTATATGATCCATATCCAGTTTCGAATATTTTTTCTGGTTGTTTTCCAATTCAAGCATTATTTCAATCAACATTAGAATGTTTTTATAATCTATCATGTATGTTAATACTTAATGAATATATGGGTTCTCCAGTACCTTTCAATTTTTCTGCTCTTAATCAAACTTTAAATCAACCAAATGAAACAATCGAAATGATTATTAATCAATTAATGGTTGATAAATGGTTACCAGATGTTTCTTTTTCATCATATTATGAAAAATGTTTACCATTATCATGTACATATCAATATAATGATCGAAATAATATTTTTATTAGTATTACAGTTATTATAAGTATTGTTGGTGGTTTATCACTCGCATTAAAACTTTTAATTATGATTAGTCTCAAATTTATTAATAAAATTTTTTCAAATAATTTTTTTCATTCAATTTCATTAAATGTGGTTAAACAAATCTTTATTTGTCATACTCAAAATCAAATTATTCATCGATTACATGTTATTTTAGTTATTGGAGTTCTGACTGCATTTTATATATTTTCTACTTTTACTCCACGTGTAATTACTATTGAAACGAATAAACCTACATTAAAAATGTATGAAGATTTATATAAAGAATATAATGATACATTGGCATGTTCATGTTCACAATTATCAATGAAATATAAATCAATTTTAAATTTAACAACTCGTTTTCATGAAATATGTTCAAGCGGTTTTATTACAGATCGGTGGCGTTCATATTTATATGAGAAAAGAGATAATGATAACCGACATTCACCATATGATTTTTATAATTCAGCAGTTGCACAATTTAAATTACTTTCCTCATTTTGTAATTTATCAAAAGAAACAGTTTTTGAATCAATTTTTCAATTAGGAACAACGGATTTTATTAATAATCAACTTTTATCATCATATAACTTAAATAATCGAATCGAAATGTTTATTAATGAATTTAAACAAACAATGCCACAATCATTTGTCAATAGTATTTTATTAATTCGAGAAATAGTTAGTAGTAATATGTTCATGACTGCATATCAAAGTAATTGGGAGTTTGAACGTTTAGGTCCTGACACTTATCAAAATATTATTCATATGTTACCCGTAAGTTATAATGGATGTAGTTGTTCAGCATCATCTAAATGCGTTAGTTCATCTCTTGGAATGTTAACTGGTTGTTATCCGCTTGAAACAATATTTCAAACAACATTAGACTGTTTTTATGATCAACAATGTATTGATTCAACAAATAATTTCAAATCAATAAATATTTCATCATTAGAAACAAGTCATTTTTTATTAAATCAAACAATTGAATTAGTTGTCAATGACTTAATGATTGAAGAATTAAAATATAAAATAAATTATACAAATTATTTTGATGAATGTTCACCATCATTATGTATTTATTCATATCTTGATAAAACGAATGCTATTGAAGGAATATTAACATTAATTGGTTTATACGGTGGTTTAGTTATTATTTGTCGATTAATTGCTATTATTATTGTCAAAACAATGTGTCGGGTGAATAGTAGAGTTAATCCGGCTACAAATTTATTTTAAATAAACAAAGATTTTCTTGCTTTTCATTTCTATTCATATTTATCATGCTTTATTCTTATTAAATATATATATTCATATTAATCACGCTTTATACTTACTAAATAAATAAAAATAAAACTTAACATATTCATTTTTTCTTGTATATCTTGTGGGTGCGGGTGTGTTGGTATAATATGTGAACGAGCGGGTACCACAAATCTTACTCACGAGGGAACTTCACCAACTGATACCAGGCTTTTCAGTTCGGACCCCATGCATAAAGTAGGTCTTAGTGAGGTATGAAAAACCCCAAAAGGATAAGTGTCATTAGGCCTTCTGTCCCGAGTTATAGCCAATATACTGAAATTTTAGCCTATGGCAGGGTATGTAGAAATAAATCAAATGACGATATTTTGACCTGAGATTTTGCCCACAGAGAAGTCTATTAGTGACTAGAATACCCTGAAAATTTCAGCTCAAAAGAATGTTTCCTTCTCGAGATATTAAAGTCTTAAAAAATCACGTATATCCCACGAAACATACTTTTTTGAGACTTTAATATCTCGAGAAGGAAACATTCTTTTGAGCTGAAATTTTCAGGGTATTCTAGTCACTAATAGACCTCTTTGTGGGCAAAATCTCAGGTCAAAATATCGTCATTTGATTTATTTCTACATACCCTGCCATAGGCTAAAATTTCAGTATATTGGCTATAACTCGGGACAGAAGGCCTAATGACACTTATCCTTTTGGGGTTTTTCATACCTCACTAAGACCTACTTTATGCATGGGGTCCGAACTGAAAAGCTTGGTATCAGTTGGTGAAGTTCCCTCGTCAGGTTTACACTCACGCCCACAGCCACACAACTTTTTTTCTTACTATTGCTATCAATATCACTCACGAAAAATAAAGCCATATGATTCATATGCAACATAACGTGCAAAGAGCACATTAGTTAGTAGGATACCAATCGTGCTTTATTGTTGGTAGTGAAGTATAGAGTGGAGATGTTATTTTATATTTATTTTATAAAAAAAAGATATGCACAATGCGTATGTTATACAATAAATATAAATAAACTCTTTATTATCAAAACTAAAGAATCAAAAACGATTTTTGTCTTTATTCTTGATGATATCTATCGTTTTTTCATAATAACTATATAACATACAATATAAAAAAACATAAAAAATTAAAGAACAGAAAAATCTTTAAGGGTGTGGGTGTGAATGTGGGTGTGGGGAAATAGAAGATCTACACCCACACCCATACCTCTGATCGTGATTATGAGGAAAAAAGTCACTCATCGAATAGAAAAGAAATATTCATACCAAAACTGCTTTACGTTCTTTTCATAAATTTTTCTTTCCTTCTGAAAAATATTATTGTTTTGATGTGAAAAAAATACTCACGTGAAAGAAAAAGAAAATGTTTCATTCTAAATCAACATAATAAAATAAAAATTAATATGACAGAAAAAGTTCATTCATCTCTTTTAACATTACCAGTCGAAATTGTGTATCGAATCTTGGATAATTTAGATGAATTTACAATTTTATGTTCTGTTCGTGATGTTTGTCATCGATTCAATCTAATTACAGATACATATAATCGATATCAAGTAAATTTTCATCTTATTCGTTACTTTTTATATCTGTTAAAATTTTTAAACAGTTATTCACTACACTTGATCTAAGCAATTATCAGTTGCAAGATCAGGATATACAATGTCTCGTCAAAACATTGCCAAATAATACCGTAAGTATAGGTATAGTGATTAATCATTTCGATAAAATTTTTCAAAAACAAATAGACGTTAACTACAATCAATATTGGTAGTAACACAAATCAAGATGGTTTAATTGTTAAATTAATCAATGCTCTTAAAAACAATAAAGTAAATTATAACTTATTCATTTGTTATCTACACGGTTAATTTCCTTCTAGACACTTACCACACTGGATATTAATTGTAATTCTATTAAAGATCAAGAAGCACAAGATCTTGCTATTTTGCTTGAAAATAACAAAGTATTTTGACAATAAACATTGTTCGATATTATTTTTTTTCCTTTATAATGGTATTAACTACACTTAAACTTGGTCAAAATGAAATCGATGATCTTGCAGTAAAATATATTGCCGATGCTCTTACAAAAAATATGGTATTACATACTTTCTCCATTTATATATTTTCAATTTGTCTTGTGTAGACACTTACTACATTAGATTTAAGTCATAATCAAATTCAAGATCAAGGAGTACAATGTCTTAGTGATGCTCTCATAGAAAATAAGGTATGATGTAATTTATTATTCGTCTGTATTTCGTTATTTTCATATAGATTCTTACTTCACTTCATATAGACATTGACAACACTAGATCTTAGCTATAATAATATTCAAGATGATGGTATAGAACAACTTGCTGATGCTCTTAAAATCAATCACGTAATTGTTTATTTAATGATTTGTTTGATTAATTCAAACGTTCTAAATAGACACTCACTATGCTTGATCTTACAGGAATTCAATTTGGAGAAATAGGTGCTAAACAACTTGGTAATATGCTTTTATATAATAAAGTAAGAATTGTTCTTATTATTATCACCGCGATTTCCTGTTTTGTTTTCTATAGACACTCACTTTACTCAATCTGAGAAGTAATAACATTGATTCTCAAGGAATATTATATTTAACTAATGGTTTGAAAGATAATAAAGTAACTAAGAAACAAGATATGTTAATACTATAACAAAATCTAATATTTTATCGTAGACACTCATTAATCTCGATCTTAGTGTAAATCAAATTCAAGACGAAGGTGCTAAGTATATTGCTGATGCACTTATAATCAATACTGTATGTTATTTAAACAAAAGAAATTGTTTTCTTTTACAATTTCTTCATATAGACACTCGAAATACTGAATTTAAGTGAAAATGGAATTGAATATCAAGGTGCACAATATCTCGCTAATGCATTAGAAAAGAATTCAGTAAAATATATGCGAATTATCTTTTTATTTATAAATTAAATTTTTCTACAGTCATTAGGAATATTCAATCTTGCAAGAAACGGAATAACTGATATAGGTGCAGAACATTTTGGTCGTGCACTTTCAAACAATAAAGTATATCTTTTTTTATTTTTATGACTTTAATGACTTCTTGTTTCTATAGACACTTACTTCACTCGATCTTAGTAATAATGAAATTAATGATCAAGGAGGACAATACCTTGCTAGTGGTCTAATTAATAATAAAGTTTTATCTTTTTATATTTCCATTTACTCTATATTTTGATCTATTATTTGTATTTAGACACTTGTTTCATTGAATCTTCATACAAATAATATTAGAGATCAATCAGCACATGAATTTTCTGTTGTTCTAATAAATAACAAAGTAAAATATAATCCTTTTTTTGTTACTTCATCTACTTTTACTTTTCATTTAGACACTTACAACTATCGATTTTAATAATAATAAAATTACTGATAATGGAATAGAACATCTTGCTGATAGTCTTACAAATAACACAGTAAGACTTTATTCCATTTCGTTATAGTTTAATTTTTGTTCTGTAAAGATATTAACTATACTCGATTTGGGAATGAATCAAATACGTGATCAAGGTGCAAAATATCTTGCTGATGCTCTTCAAACGAATAGAGTATATTAATTAACGAATATTATCATAAAAGTATATATTTCTTTCATATAGACATTGACACTACTTAATCTTCAATATAATGAAATTACAGAAATAGGAGCTGGTTACCTTGCTGTTGTTCTTTCAGATTATTCAGTAAAGATTATTTTTGATTTTTATTCTTAGTTTCTTCATATATTTAGACAATTGTAACAATTTATCTTCGTTGGAATAATTTTGGGGAAGAAAAACGAGAAAAACTAATGAAACTTGCCAATGAAAATGAACGATTAAAACTAACAGATGTTTGTTGTTGGAATTAAAGCTCTTTTCTTTACATAATAACATATTCTATATTTAACTTTCATTATTATTAAACTTACAAATAAAAATCTCGACTTCTGTACCATCTTGAGGGTGGGTGTGGGTGTGGGTGGTACTCATACCCATCCTCAAGATTTCACTGATTATCCTTCTTTTTTTCTAAAGTTCATGTACTTAAACAAACAAATTACTCTCTGCGTCAATAGTGTATCCACAGTATAATCGTCATATTTACACACGTTGTTCGTTAAGGCTATATTATTTTATTCCTGCCGTACTCTTCGTTCACATTCCACGTGTATTCGATAGAGAGAAAAGGTAAGCGTAAGAAGAAAAATAAAAAAAAAAGTATGTATTTGATTGTCATTTCGAAAAATGGTCGATGCACGATTGGTAACAGTGGTCGGAGCTACTGGTGCTCAAGGAAGTGCTGTTGTACGAGCATTAGTTGAAACAGGCAAATACAAAGTAAGGAATATCTTATCATAATTATTTCCTGTGAATACTATATTGTCTTTTTTTTCTGCCATAAGATTCGTGGTTTAACACGTGATTCATCGAGTGAAAAAGCTCAGACATTGAAACGTTTAAGTGATAATATTGACATGGTTACATGTGATATAACAAAGAGTGATGATGTTGAACGTGCATTTAAAGATTCATGGGCTATATTTGCTGTGACAGATCCTTGGACAAATCCAAATCAACTGGAACTCGAAAAACAACAAGGTTATATCATGGCTGATGCAGCTGCTTCACTTCAAATTCCATATTACATATTTAGTACAGTAGAAGATGTTAAGAAGCTGAGCAATGGAAAATTGTAAGTCGATATCATTATAGTATCTGTATCAATCTATTTTCCATAGCGATATACCAATTTTTACTCACAAAGCCGAAATAACTAATTATATCAAAGAAAAATGTCGAAATTTAAAAACTATTTATGTCGAACCTGCTATGTATATGCAAAATTGGAGAAATGCTGGAAAATTACCTACATTAGATGATGGAACAGTAATATTCGCAGCTCCCATCGATGAAAAGATGGAATTACATTTAGTAGATATCGATGATATTGGTCCGATTGTTCGTGAAATATTAGCAGATCCGGATAAATTTGTTGGTCAAGATATTTGTGTATGTGGTGATGAAATAAGTTTAGAAAATCTATCCAAAATCTTTACTAAAGTAACTGGAATTCCAGCAATCTCAAAAACATTAACCGAAGAAGAATTTCGAACAATAACAAAACAGTTACCGAAAACAGCGCAAGATAATATCTTTGGTATGCATAAATGGATCGAAGAATATGGATATTATGGAAAAGATAAAGATTGGACAAATGGACAAAAATTAACAAAATTAAATACATTTGAACAATGGTTAAGAAAAACTGGATGGGAAGGGAAATAATCGTTATTCTATTGACTACATAATTTCTTCATATCCATAAAACACTCACATCCTTAAATGACTAATATTCACTTTCATACTCTTATCTATTGAATCTTTTCAAGTTTTATACGAGTCATATATCAAACGTTAAGTATTCTTATCTACGAATTTAGTTGCTATGAGTAATGGATGAAAAGATTCAGTATAAATACTCCATGTTTTCTATCATCATTTTTCTGTTTAAAATAAATTTTCTAAATGATTTAATATTCTAGGCTAAAATATGAATTTAAATTATATAAAACTGTAAGTAATTCATATATTTTTTCTTTCTAGCTATATCAGGAAAACTTTCAATGACCCACTTTGAAGATCTTTCCAATGAAATTCTCTTGGAGATATTTGATTATGTAGATGGTTATGATATTTATAAATCATTTCATAATTTAAATGCTCGTCTTCAATTTTATTTAAAATTAAACTTTGCTCAGAAACAATATCAAATCTTGAAGAATGTTGTGAAACTGTTATTATTCCAAATCAACATCATATTCTTTCACTTGATATAAAGGATGATATCTTCGTCAATAATTTTTTCAAATATTGTATTGTTAATGCATCATTTCATAATCTTCGATCAGTTATTTTACGTGATATTCTTATCGAATTAGCTGTAGATCCTCTTTTGCATCTAAAATCGTTACCAAATCTCTTATCATTGACTCTAATATGTCATCTATTATTCCCTAAAGATATTCGTGATATCTATCGATTGATTTTCTCTTTTCCAACCTTAAAATACAATAAAATATCATTAGAAGAATTGAATTATGAACATGATGATATCAATGAGACAAATATTTCACTACCTGCTGGTATACTAAATCAGCAATTTAATACAATTGAATATTTCGTTATCAATCATGAATGTGCATTTGATGAATTAATATTTATACTTTGTCATACACCTCAATTACGTCATCTTATTTGTGGTAATTTACTTAAAACAGATCAGAATATTGAAGATGAACAGATTCCAACATTATCTTATTTAAAACATATACGTATTGATTGTTGTTATCTAGATTTTAATGATTTTGAAAGGTTTATCAAGAAAGTTTCTCCTCAATTACAACGATTACATATTAAGCCAAATTTTAACAAAGCTTATCTTGATGCAGATCGATGGGAACGGTTGATAACGAATTATATTCCACATTTACATACATTGATTTGCAACTGCTATCAACATAATTTTATAATTTATGAAGATCGATCTCTTCATTTAATTATTAATCAATTTAGTTCACCATTTTGGGTTAATAAAGGATGGATATTTGAAATTTTTATTGATTGTAGAATTATCCATTTTTCCATTCATTCGTCAAAGTATATTATCATAGATTTTTTCAATTGATTTTGATTCAATTTTTTTCATATTTAGGAAAACATGTTTTATTTTTGATGAGACAAAAGAAACTATGGTGACATATTCAAAATCAAATAATCTAGTCATTCAACTGGAGATCCATAGCTTTGCTTCCAATCCGAAACAGAATCAATCATTGATTGATAATTACAAACTCATGTTTGATTCAATTAAATTTACTCATTTAACTATCAATTGTGAGACGATTTCTTCCGAACTGCTTATTCAAATTATCGAAATGTTACCTCATCTTGTTTCATTACATATATTAGCGATACCAATCATTCAAAATAATGCTGATGTTCTTCATCGGGTATCACTCAAAAATAAAATAACAAAAGTTAAACTCGAGAAAATTACTGAAATCGAACAAGTAATGTTTATTCTTTGTCTTTGCCGTTGTATGAAGCATTTTCAAGTAAATCTTTCGGATCATAGAATTCTAAGAAATCTCATTCGATTCATTCTGAATAAGATCAATGAAAATGTTCCTCATCTCACTTGTTTATGTATCAATATTTCCAACAATAATGAACACATACTTAATGAATTACAAAACCTGATTGATACTGAATATTTATTAGATAATTATACAATGAAACTCGTCGGGCATAATATTATTTTACAATTATATTAATTTTGTTTTGTTTCCACACAAACTTCATTTATTAATCAAAAATGAAAAATTAAACTCGATAAAAATTGACACATTTTGTTGTATTAATAGCTAATATATTCGAACCAAATAAAATAGCATTCCAAGGCTTTAGTTTATTATCAAGTGATTCTTTTATTTTTCCATCTTTAGTAATATGAAAAAGACGAGAACCACTGGGATCGGCTACAAGCCATTCATCACATCTTAGCAGACACACGCGACTTATCAACTTAGCAGGCCCATTCGTATCATAAAGGTTAAGTGACCATAATTGGTCGAGTGTTGTTAATGATCGAAGATCGATTCGTACTTTCTTAACAGTAGTAGTGTTTGCTATTATCATTGCAAGTGTTTCATTATTATTAGCTATACTATAAATATATTCTTGAGTTCCACAACTCGTTTCAGGTTTCCATTGTTTGGTTAAATTAAAAGAAGATAAAACATTGAATTGAAAAATATCAGAACCTTTACTATTTGTTGTAACAAACAGACTTGAGTTTGAGCATGTACAAGACAACCAATTCTTCTTTTCAATCGTTTCGATTGATTTAATTGAGGTTAGATTTTCATCTACAAGAAAAATACCATCTTTATCAGTCACTAGAATAAATATATTTAATGTCGAAGACCAACAGATGTCGCAGATAATGTCATGTTCCCATGAACATTTTTTAACATGATTAAGATCTCGATCAAACAAACATAAATTCGAATTTTGAACTAATAATAAAAATTGATTGTTGCTGGCTATTGCATAGATTGAACAACCGATTTCTTCATATGGAAATGAAATATTTGGCAGATCAACTTCATCTAATGACCATTCTTCAATATAAATCAGACCTTTTTTATTAATAATCAAAGGATTAGTATCGACTATAATTCCTTCTTCTTTAAAATGATTAACATCACGTTTAATATCATTTACAATTGTTGTTAATGAAGGAATATCTTCATAAGTAGCTTCCTTTTCTCGAATAAGATCATTTATTTTAACTTTTGTATTATCAATTTGTTTTTGTTGATCATTAACTCGTTGAACGCAACGTTCTTCAAGTTCTTTACATTTTTCTTGATAAAATAGATCAATCGTTTTACGAGAATCATCACGCCATTTATCTAGTACTTGACGACAATGGACAATAATATCATCAACAATAATTTTCGAAAATTCATCAGAAATTTCATTAAGTTGATCACCAAGTGGAGTGACTTGAGAATTAATTCTATCATCATGTTCTTTGAAATGATCAGGACAAAGATTTTTACCACAACAATAACATAATCCACGGCATTTACGTTTACACGTATCAACAGCACATAGTGGTTGCATCTTGTTAAGAAAAAATAATCTTTATTTTAACGAACCTTAGCGTGTAAAATGTAAAATGATGAATGAAAGAAAATTTTCCTCTCCATAAACTACATCATAACCAAGATAACAAAGCAGTTCTGTTTTTCTCCTTTGGAAGAATAGGCAATGAAAATGAGTCATTGTCGTTTGCTTTTGCCTTAGATGATTGCAAAACGGAAGAAAAAAGAAAAAATAATATTGCACAAATATTGATGTAAGGTAGTAAACTTCTTTCAGTTCGATTATATTTTTAAGTAAGGATGAAAAGATTTTATTTCAGAATAGTATAAAAAGCAAAGCTTATATATTGTTTGAAATGGTATTGAAATATTCTTTTCTTCTATCGTGGTATATTTTTGTTGTTTTTCGTCTTCCATTCGTCAGATATCTATGTAGTCTCATATCTATTTTTCATCATTCAAAATGAAGTCGGTGTGTTTATATACACTAACACTTCTTTTTTCTTGCGTCTCAAAATATTAACTCACATATATCTATTTTATTATAGAGCTCCTATCAAGGACACAAATACAAGAACATTTCTTCATGTCTAATCGAGAAGACGAAGTTTTCCGACATCTCTCCCAATTGCTGGTCAATCGTAATGCAGCCAGTGGTACATTGCAATTCGACAAAAGCGAATTTTCACGTTTACCTGATGATGCGAATAATATGTCTCAACTTACATCCGAAGATTTGCAACAAGTGGCCGATGCTCTATATCATTCACTTACCGTTGGTCCACATAGCATGATGATTGGAACAGATGGAGGATCGGTCCAATTTATTGCTGCTTAATTCAAGAATATGAACATGCGAGGAAGTAAACTTGAGCCAAAAGTCATTGAAGTGGCACTAACAAAAATCATTGATAATCTGGATCAGTATCCTCAGCTCAACGCAATCAAATGTAATTTATCATACAACGATAATGGTTCAATGATGACTGCAAAGGGCGTGCGAACATTCTATGTCAAGGGACGACAGTAAAACTTTGTCTGTGTTAAAACTGAAACATATTATTCGAGAATAGAAAAAAAAGAATTTATTGTACCATGTGTCACATCTGGCTTCAAACGCCTGTTTTCGTTTATTTTACGAAAAGAAAGGAGTAGAGAAGGATTGTATCTTGAGGGGGAGGGATGTGGATGTGGTTGAGGTTTGAAACAGAATAGACAGCCACACCCATAGCCTCACCACAGAATTAGATCTCATTAATTCCAGTCTAAACTTTACAATGCTTTTTTACGATGCAACATCGACAAATAATGCTGTTCTGATAACGGTGACGATGTGAGATGTAAAATATTCAATACCTATGCCCACACATACGCTTCAGATGATTTTGTATGTTTTATATATTATTCAGTATTTCTTCCAACTAGCGTTTTTGTTTATCAAAACAATTTTCTCCGCGAAAGGTTTTCATTATACTGTGTTGTGTATGTCTCTTACTTATGATAAATTTGTTTATCGTTTTTGATAAGAAATATTTACCTATTGCAAAAGCAGACATGTAACAACAAGTAACGCTCATCCAATGGATTCGCTAACCCTTTTCTGAAAGAAAGTTTCCTATGATTATCATTAAAAATAATCTTGATTTTGAATACATATCAATAAAGGGAACCTGGACAGGTTCTACTCGTCATAAAATCTTGATCGAACATGGTTCATTTTTAATTTGACGAATAAACGATCAGTCCCAGCCGTATATCTCATTTTTTGAAAAACTGACCTAATTCAAAGAGTTTAAGGAGCTGAGATGCCGCATATTCGAGAATTCTTACACTTTAAAAATAATCTAAGCAAAGTAACTTTAATATTCCTGAGCGATCGGGAAAATTGATGTTATGAAAATAATTGATCCTCTTCTCAAAGTGTATTCAACAATTATAATAGTTTAACAAAACTGGGATATGCTTGGGATCACCTGAAATCATGATTATATGAAAAAACACTACTCATTTAAAATGACACAATCCCGGACAACTCCTAAAAGCTTTTAGAGTTGTACAACAGCATATCTATTCCTGCTCACGCCACAACAAGCAAATAATGCCATGTTTGCATTCAGAAGTCCTTTATTGAATAGGTCTTGTTAGGTCAAATGTGTAATTAAGATTTCTTTTTAGCTCAAGAATCGAATCACTTAACAATTTCGCAAAAACCCTCAGGTCTCACTTACTATACTTAGAATAAACCATTTAAATCAACGCCTAGTCGGTCGGCCACTCCCGGCTAGCCGTTACCATATGTAGTATATTTTTCTGTATATCAACTGTTACATTAAGGTTTTTCACGTGCACCGAAACTATTTCACTCATAACGTATCGATTTGCAATCGGAAATTTCCAACCTTTAGATAGCACTATGTATTGTTCATCATAGTTTCCAATTTCTTTTTATTCTGATACAACGATGCACTGCTGGATTCTTTCTCGAATTAGCATTCATTAAGTGCTTTCAAAAAACCATTTCAACCAACTAAGACTCATTTCAAAACTATGTTTCAAAACAATCTTCTGAAATTAACGTCTAGTCGTTCGTCGGCCTCCCTCCGGTCGGCCACTCACGGCTAGCCGTTTTTGTGTTTAACTATACTATTTCCTCCACTATTAGTACAGCTTAGAAGTTAAGAGGTGCATTTCGTGTGAATTTCTCTTAGAAAGATGCTCAGTATTTGATACTATGATTCTCAAGAAGAAATTAAGGAAAGAAGAACTATGCTGTAAGCTGTTACGAAAGAGTACATTACATTGTGCCATAGCAAAGATATTCATCTACTTCGAATATTATTATACAGTTAAAATCCACGACCATTTAACAGTAGGATTTGAAACACCTGTCCTCTTCTTTAAATTATTTGTCTAAATTTTACCAAACAATCCGATTATAGTTGTCAACTAGGGTGCGGCGGGATAGGGTCTTTTATCTCGATCTCGTTCTCGCGTATTAAAAGTGGTACTCGCCCTGGTCCCGTTTGAACCCGATTTTTCTAAATCTGCGACAAACCGTTTTTAAACACATGTCTAGCAACTGAATACCCACACCTACCGCATCCAACATAAATTTTTCATAAAAGATCTATTCTTTGTATAAAAAAATCAGGAGCAAAAAATTTTAAAAATCTGACCTCAGATTCGCATTCCTCGACCCCTATTACATTTGTTCAAACTTTATAAGAAGAAAATTTTTTTCGTAAAAAAGTAGTCCATTGTGTAAACAAGTAACGCTCCTCCGAGGACTCGCTTAGCTCTTTCTTGTAAAAATGCATTTTCTTCACATTTACCGAAAAAACAAATGGAAACCGTGAAAAATCAGTTTTTGATGTTTTTTTTGACCTTTGATTTCTCTTCACCCCCGTCTCTCCACACGGTGACCCAATAGTCCTCAGATTCGAACTCCCCGTATCGAAAAACCTCTAGAAATATCTTTTTCCAAAAATCCATTTTCAATGTTTTTTTGACCTTTCACCCACACCCACCCTCTTCACCCACCCACCCCTAACCGTGGCCACCCAACAGATCTCAAATTCGAACTCCCCGCATCGAAATACCTCTAGAAATGTCTTTTCCAGAAAATTGATTTTCAATGTTTTTTTGACCCTGCGGACAGAATGAATGACAAACTTTATGCATTTTGAGCCCACGATTTAAACGTCATATAACCCTTTCTTTCAGAAAAGGGAACAATGGAGATAAACATTGTGAATACAAGAGTTAACTTTGGCAATTTTTTTTTCATTTTTATACTTATTTATTTCAAAAACTTTTGAAAAACATTTTTTTGATCTTTGCTGCATTATTTCAAAGTAAGTTAATATTTTATTCTATCATGATTCTATCGTCATAAGAAATGACACCATTATTTTTGTTAAGATTAATTTTACAGCTAATTTCTCTTTTTGTTATATTCACAAACAAACTTGAGATTATGCGAAAATACTATTTAGATGTGTGAGAATAGTGCACAGATTGGTAGTCATAAAAGTTGCATGTGAAGCACTTTGATGAGATTTGTTTATTGATTAGATAGAGACAAAGTAAAAATTCGATTAACTATAATGAGGGTGTAAGTGTGGATGAAGTACAATACTCACACCGACCCCGTCAAAAAACGCACAATGCTAATAGTAAATATGATCTTCTATCTCTGTTGTGATATGATGAACTAGTAAAGTTAAAAGGGTGGGTGTCAATACTCTGATCAACCACATCCACACTAACACACCCACACCCTCAAGAATAAAAAAATGAAATAAGAACAGTACTTCTGAATAAAATAATTCTGATTAAGGCTAAGATATGTGCAAAATCCATTATTGTATAATATACGTGTAGTTGAAAGATAAAGAAAATAAGTATGTTAAAAATAATCTATTTAAAAAAAACAAGATTTACATATTAATTTATTAGATGCCGCACTATTAATTAAATTCTACTATGAGAATCACATGATCTCTATATATAAGTCATAACTAAGTAAAGAAAATTATCTCTGAATTCTTTAAAAAAAGGTCACTTATTGGAGCATGAATAAAATGAAAATTTTGTATTATATTTTGCACATATATTGAAAGATTGATGAAAAAATTTTTTAGTTTTAATTAATAACAATTAAATCAATTGGTGAAATACTTTCCTTTCAATACGAGGGAGATTTGTTAACGACTCGAGCAAAAATGAGCAGGGAAATAATTTTTTAAACGTGTTATTTTCTATATGAATAAGCATTCGTCTGTCCTAGAAAAGTGCATTTTATATATAAGATGACAGGCAAAATTATGGTTTATTTTTTATACTAACAACATTATACAAAGATTTTAATTTTCTAACTATACATGAATGGATCCTTCTTATAAACATAGTATTCATCGAATGCCCATTGTTTTTAGAAAACTGTTTATCTAAATAACTGAATGGAACTTACTTAACACGTTGACTGTTCAGTGCATCATATGTGGTGCACGATACTTTTGACTAAAAAACCTATGCATCACATATGACATACTTGTAGCATAAGATATATTAAGCTAGATGTTACTAATTGATCATATTTGAAACATAGAACGTATCAGAAAAATATAAATAACAAAAAAAAGACGTATAACAAGTATTATTTTTTACTCATGGGACAGTCAACTTGTTAATAATGTGTGATCTCGTCTAGCGTTCTTACTTGAGAAAGAATTTTTCATTCTGACATAATCATTTACACAAGCATACTTGAATGAATTTATATGAAAATCATAGATGACAGTTTGAAACTTTTTAGAATAGACAATTTGCATTATAAATTTATGTGCAGTCTTGTATATGATAATTTGTCTATTATCATTGTTCGAAAAGGAAATGTAGACTCATATTAGTTCAATTCATAAACTTATTTGAATTGACACATTTCAAAAAGATGTATGAATGAAACTGAGCTATACCGAATGGAGCAAATTAGCATCCATGAATCGTAGTAAATGTTGTTACAATAATCAACAGATTAAATCAAATTGAATTGCGCAGTTTTGTTTGAAGGTAAATCCCGGTTTCTTTTAATTATAGTATCAAATTAAGAAATCATGTGAAAATGATTGTTTTTCTCTTATTTAGAAAATACTAATAGAACTTTTTGAGGTCAAAAAAGGATGGTACACATCTAATAAATCTACTTCAATTAATTGAAGACTCCGCTTTTTCGATTAAAATATTTCAGTGATTAATAAGATATGATGATTTTGAATTATTTCACCGGTCCGAACCTTGATTTATAAGTCTGTTTGTCCACGAAAATATTTAGAAATAGGATGTGTTTAATAAAAGGTATTTACAGTCGTCGTTTTTTTCTTGTTTTCGACTAAGTATTCAATTACCATAGTATTCCGGGAGAAAAAAGTGTGGGAATCGAGACTATAGACGCTGGATTTCATCATTGGAATCAGTCTTTAATTGTTTCTTTCCTAATATCAAAACAACAAAACAATAGGATTAAAGTTGAAATTACAACGATAAAGCTTGGTTTTACTGTATGGTATGCTGATATATAATATTTTCAAGGTTACTATTTTAATTAAGTAAAAGAGAACAATAAAAGGGATTAAAAACAGCTTCATTTTCATTCTATTCTCAAAACGAAAAGAACACCATGGTTCTTCTATTTCACACGGTTGCTCTTCTTCTTCTTTTGCTCAGTGATAGTGTATCTTCACAAGCATTAACACTCAATATTCGAGATAACGGCAAGATCTGTTCACAATGGATAAAACCAGGAGCTAATGGACAGTTTTCAGTCTCTTATGCACAACAACCAGAATGCATTAGTGCTGTCGCTTTTGAACAAGCAAATGGTCAAGCACGTCTCTGTTGTAAAGGTATGCCTTTAACAACACCACCAGCAAATTTTCCCAAAGAATGTGGTAAACAATTATATCAACCATTGAGACAACGTATCATTGGTGGACTCATTGCACACCCAAATAGTTGGGTAAGTATTGTTTGAAAAACAAATATTTTATTAATTTTTACCATATTTCTATTTTACTTCTTAGCCATGGCAAGTTTTGGTACGTGGAGCTAATAATATGTGCGGTGGTTCTCTTATTGATGAACGTCATGTTTTAACAGCTGCACATTGTATTAAAAATCCAGTTCAAGTAAATGATTATAAAATTATTATTGGTGCCCATGAAATTAATAAACCAATGTATATGGAACAAGAATTAACTGTATCAAAAATTTGGGTGCATGAACAATACACTGAAAGTACAACTGCAAATGATGTAGCTGTAATACGTCTGACAAAACCAATTCAACTTTCTGATAAAGTCAATATAATCTGTCTTCCAGGTGCTGAAGCGAAGAGTGTTAACGATACTGTTTGGGTTTGTAAGTATCTTTTTCTGTCCTGAACTAGACTAAATATATTGTTATTATTATTAAATTTCTTAGCTGGTTGGGGAAGAACAGCTCACAATGGTGATACAAGCCCCATTCTGAAACAGACATATATGCAAACAATGGGTACTAAATGTTCTACATATGGTGCTGCCAGCTTTAATGAAGAAAAACAAATTTGTGCTAGTCAACATGGTGTTGGTTACACATGTCAAGGTGACTCTGGAGGTCCATTGATGTATGAATATGAAGGACGATGGTAAGTTTTTTAAACAAAGAAAGCCACTTTGTTATTTCTCTTCCATTTGCTTTAGGTATTTAAATGGTGTTGTTAGTTATGGCCCTACAGATTGCGGTGTTGGTACTGGTCTTCCAAGTGTTTTTGCACGTGTCAAATACTATCTATCATGGATTAGAAGTAAAATGGCATCATCATAAACACAATTAACAACATTTAGAGTAGAAGTACTCTTATTTTTTTCTGTATTTCATGTTGATTAAAACGAAAGTTGATACAGAAATATATATATAAGAAGAAAAAAATTACTTTTTGTTTTATACGATCTATATAACGAACGGAATCAGTAGAAAAAAAGAGAGGGCGTGGATGGATAACATAGTCTATCGAATATTTTATTTTAAAAAAGTATTTATTAACTTGTTAACATCAAATTACTACTTGATAAAATATCTCTATCGAGTCTTCAATTGTGTATACACTTATAAGCACTACTGTCTTATACTGATATGAACTCATTTGTGAACTAGTGAATACTGCTTTCTTTAGGCAACAGAAGAAACTTTGTTCCTTTTCTTTATCTTCATAGATACTATCAAAATAATATGTGATGAATATTGACGTAACATTGTTATGAAAACGTGTTTTTGGTATTATTTTCAATTTTGAAAGCGTCAGATAACAATTCTATTAAATTATAACGTGACTGAATATCTTCTTTCGATTATCTAGCAAGATATCGTTCGATTAAGATCTAGTTCGCGCGCGCCATCTAATATTGTCTGCGAACAATAAATCAACTTTTCTATCAGTATTCTTATTTTGAATTATCATTTACATTAAGTTAATCACTGTAATCTTGACATGGCTATGGCTAATACTAAAAGGATAAAAAAGTCTCGAGAAGTAAAAATAAATGAGTTTTTATTTAATTTATTTTAGTTCTAGTAAAATTGAGTATTGACTTCATGTTTCATTTTTTTCTTAATCTACAATTTTTTTTCATTATATAATTTCTCGTAGAATTTTTACGACTGTAATTGATAACATTCTTTTTTGTGTTGAGCAAAATATCACGTTGATAAGACAATCTAGACAACTTATGATATAAAAAAAACTCAATAAAGAAATTACAACGTAAAGGAGATCAATATATGGTGGTAGTATCACTAGGTCAAACATTCACTTACGTCATCTTGATGATACCACTAATGAGTTTACTTTATCTGTTTGTTAATATTCCTATCGTATTGAATCGATAACGAATAATATTGAACTCAGAGCAGTTGTCTTATATCATATCAAGCAGAGACGTTCGATAAAATAGAACGAACACGAGAAAAGCAGTGATTATGACCTATTAGGATAATTCACAATATATAATTGTTGACTGCAGGAAACACCATTAAATAGTAACAGAATCGTGAGGAAACAAATGAACTAACATCTTATCACCTATCATGAAGTCATTAAGAGAAAAGATAATAGATATTATACGACGATAAAGCTAGCTGAAAAGAAAGGAGAAAAGTCTGCATATATCTTTTATCGATGATATGCATATATAGAGAATACATGTATTGTTTCATACCGTTGAGAATAACTATATTGGCTTATTCTCGTTTCTATTACAGATTCAGTTTTAGATGTCTCGTAGTGCTTTAGTTACAGGAGCAGCTCAAGGTATGGGACGTGCAATTGCTTTACGTCTTGCTAGAGATGGACTCAATATTGCTATCAATGATATTAATTCAAATACCATTCAACTTAATGATATTCAAAAGACAATAGAAAAAATGGGTCAAAAATCCATTGTAAGTACTGCAGATGTGTCAAATGAGAAAGCAGTCTCAACAATGATGAAGAATGTAGTTAAAGAATTAGGAAGTTTAGATGTATGTATTCTTTTATTTTCAATCTACTTCATTCTTTTTAACAAACAACATAGGTCGCAATTGCTAATGCAGGAATTTGTTCAATAAAGCCACTCATTGAAATTACGGCAGACGAATGGGATACAGTATTAGCTACTAATCTACGTGGTGTTTTTCTTTGTTATAAAGAAGCTGCTAAAGTGATGATTGCTCAAGGTACAGGTGGTAAAATTATTGGTGCTTGTAGTATGGTTGCCTATCGATCAACTACACTGGCAAGTCATTATATTGCTAGTAAATGGGGTGTACGTGGTCTTACCCAAGCTGCTGCTCTAGAATTAGCTCAACATAAAATAACAGTCAATGCTTATTGTCCTGGTATGTTTCATATTTGTTTTTTATTATTAACTCAATATTATCTTTATAGGTTATGTCGAAACTAAGCTGATCGATTCCGTTACTCAAGAATTCACTAAATATCAGGGTACAACACAAGATGAAGTCAAGAAAAATTTCGTACAAATGATTCCTCTTAGACGTCCTGCTCAACCAGATGATATTGCAAATTTTGTATCATATCTTGCTAGTAAAGATTCGGATTATATGACTGGACAGAGTGTTATAGTAGATGGAGGATTTGTATTAACCTAAATACTGATACATATGTACTGTAATTCGTAGTATTCAATAAAAATAATAAATACATATATTAAACCATTGATACGGTATATCTGCAGTCTATCATTAATATATTCAAATATTAGATAAAACTCATTGTGAATATAAGAGAAGAAACGACAGAACGAAAAGAAAAAAATGATTCACTGACATTCGTTTCAAAGAGAGTGAGGTATAACGAATTCATTTTTAAATAATTTTCGATGGGTCTATGCTGAGATTACGAAAAATTTCATCATACAAAATCGAAAGTTACAAGGCGCTCTTCACGAGTGTTTTTACTACCGCTAATTTCCGTAAGTTTCCATTATGACTTCAACTCAAATTATAATGAGAAGATACGACTGTTAAGCTTAACAAGGTATCATTCGACAAATCGATAAATTTTATTGTCCTAGTCGTTGATGTGCAATCGTTTTTTTTATAGAATTAAAACAGAAATTTTCGTAATACATTCGGCGACATCTTTTATTTTATGAATATAATGACCGCATCGTATTGCAAGAAATGACGCCGGATATCTTTTTTTTGTTCTCTTATGCAAAATGACATAAAATGTGATAACAAAGCAAAAAAATCGTCCACTGTGTTTCTGTCAATGTCTATTACTGAATTGTACTCTAATCTAATTAAATACAATGTTATATCAATATTGTTAACACTTTTGTTCTGATGTTGAAATACTTTACTCTATAATTTTAGAAATAAATGGCATTAAATATTATCTTCTTAGATATTGATGGAGTCTTATGTTTAGGCAGAAAAATGGATAAAAATTGCTTACAACATTTGAAAACTATTACAGATGTAACATCGGCACGAATTGTTTTATCATCTTCATGGAGGTAATTGAATATATTTTTCTTAAATTAAAATCTAAGAAATTTTCTATATAGATTTTTTCCAAAATCACGAGCACAAATTGAAGCATCATTTAAAGAAATTGGTATCAATTCTTTACTAGGATGGACTGGTTCTCAAGGTAAAACGCGAGTAGATGAAATCTATTCTTGGATGAAAAATTTCGACAATAAAACAATTGAAGAAGATATTATTATTAATAAATGGATTGCTATTGATGATATGGATTTATATACTCTAGATAAAACACGTATGCAAGATCATTTTGTATTAACAACATTAATACAAGGAATTACAGAAGAAACAGTCAAAGAAGCAATTCGATTACTTTCTTGATATTTTTTAATACGAAAAGATTGTATATTTAAATAAAAAATAAATACGTTAATTTACTACTGTTTCATGTTAGACCACAGCACGTCAAAGTCAAAGAGAACTTTTCTCATTCTTCAAAGGTGTCACATTATTTTATATATCTCAAAAAGATTTTTTTTTTCTTCATATATATAATATCTATGTTACTAAGAATAGATGAAGAGGAAAGAAAAAGAAAAGTCTTGTTAATCTTACCGTCAAAAAAAAAAGAATTATGTTGCGCACATCTTTATATTTCTACGTCTTCTCTAAACTATATCAACTTCATTTGAATACTAACGAACAACAAAAATGCATTCTTCTGCTTTATCAAGGTCATGTAGTATTTCTGGATGTAAACATTTATCGCGTGCTCTATGTATATGTTGTAATCAATATGTTTGTATTGATCATTTAAAAGATCATTCGAATAATCAAAATGATACTCAACTGACGTCATTAACAACTGAGTTAAATATTTTATCTGATCGTATTCATTATACACCATTAGTTGATTCATTTTTTCTAACAACACTAGAAAAATGGCGTACAGATGCTTATCGTACAATTGATCGTTTTTATGAAACACAACGTCGTCATTTTGAACAATTTATACATGAAAATCGAGATAAACAACGAAAAGAAATTGATTATTTACGTTTAAAAATAACTAATCTTATACATGAACAAAATATAACACAAGAAGATATTATTCAAATAAAAAATACTATTCATATAATTGAAAATGATCTTAATGATTTACAACATCTTCAATGTAATATTCGTCCATTGATTATTGATGAAAATCTTACTACTTTTCAATCGAATAAAATTACACAAGATATTTTACCACTTTCACGTCCATATCGAACATTAAACATATCCGATGATAGTTATTGTTGGATGACAACTAATGATAAATATTTATTAGTACATCATAAACCTGATCTATATTTACTTGATCGACAATTAACAATTATTGAAAGAATACCATGGATACATGGTCGAATATATAGTATGTGTTGGTCATCAACAATAAATCGTTTTATTATTATTACGAATAATATTATTTTTACACTTGATGAAAATCTTCTAGCTATTGAACGATGTGATTTAATTCATTCTAATAATATTTATCGAAATTGGCGTTCAGGTACATGTTCAAATACAAATTTATTTTTATCAACGAATGAATTAGGTTCATCAATCTATGAATTTACATTATTACCATCGATTCAATTAGTTAAAGAATGGTCATCACCAACAACATGTCGAAAAGATGAAAGTATTGATGATTTATGTTATAAAAATGATAAATTTGCTATTATTATTTTTCATCAATCAACAAATGAAACACATTTTGATTTACGTTCTTCGACAACATTCGATGTTATCTGGTCAATTGAAATTGGTCATAGCGTACCACGACGTACAACTGGTTGTTGTGGATTAAATAATGATGAATGGCTTATTACAGATGAATATGATTTTCGTTTATATCATATATCATCTAATGGACATCTAGTCAAAAGTGATAAATATGATCCAGCACCATATAATGCTTTACTATTCGGTAGAGATATACTCGCCATACGAACTACACAAGGTGTTAATTTACATAAACTTATGTAAAAGTTTTTATAGTATTTACATCTATAAGCATTTTCATATAAATAGATTTGTAGTATAATACTATCTCATATAAGATTGATTTATTCTAGTAAAACTATATTTGTTGGAAGTAAATTATGAGAGCTAACTGACCTTTAATTATATGACAATTTCATATTTCATGTCATCAAAATCGCTTGAAAATCGACGATTTTATTGCGATAGATTGCAATAGACCAATATTTCGATAAAAAGTCGTCGATGAATCGCGATTTGATCGACGATTATTTTTGGATGAAAATATAGTCATCATAAATGACAGAATTTTAATAAACTAGATAATTTAACATCATTTGATACTGCACTATCCACGCCACCAAAAATTTCGAATAAATTGACGATTTTATCGCGATATAGAAGCCGATTAATTGTGAGATCTATCGCGATAAAATCGCCAAAATTAAGCACTTTTTGCCGATTTTTTTTTCGAAAAGTCTTGATTCGTAATGATTCCGACAAAATAAGCATTTCTTACTAGCGATATAATCGTCAATATTTTGAAAAATCGCGATTCATCGCCTAAACCTTGGCGATTTTGAAGAGATGGATAGCTTCTCATGTATGTCTAGAAACTATACACATGGAAAATATCAAGGGCTAGAAAGCAAACTGTTCAATAAAAAACATCTTGCACAGTTTGCAAGGCTAGATACTCTAGAATTATAGAGTAAATACAAATTATAAACTAGCTGCGATACTTTCAAAGTTAATGTATAAAAATGATTAGAAAATAATAAATTTTGATCTTTATGCTAATTTTCTTTCAAAAAAAAATTTTATTCTTAAAAATACTACATAAAACGATTTGAAGTAAAAAAATAATAGTTTATTTTAAATATTATTTCCCCCTGGAATTTTATCAACTAAAATATTAAGTGTATTTTGTATATTATTTATTGTATTATTGACATTCGTAAGTTGTTCTTCAATTCTATCTACTTTTACTTCCATTTTTCTTATTTTTATGTTTGTTAATTCTGTTCTAGTGATTGTTTTATGCTGCATTGTTATTAATTCAACTTGATCGATACTATTATTAATTAAAATTTGTTCTTGTCGTCTAATCTCTTGAACAACTTTTATTGAGCGAAATAATTGTCTTTGTGTTCGAAGATAGTGAGCAAATGAAAATCGTTTAGTGTCTCCTCTCCAAACCCATAATTTCAATGCAAATTTGATAATATTTGCTGATTGTTGTTGGCGTTCTTTAGTCAATTGGGTATTTAAAACAAAAGAATGTACATATTTTTCTGATCGACCAAGCATTAATTTTTGTGCAAGTACCGCAATAATAAGTGCACTTGCAAAAAGACCATAGAGAGAAACCATACCAGCAACAACTAGTAATTACAATAATATTTCAGTTTTTTTTATTTAATATATTTTTGTCATGAAAAAAATACAACTTACTTCTTCCACAATGAGTTGATGCAATTAAATCTCCATATCCAAGAGAAGTAAATGTTACAGTAAATAACCACATTGCATCAGACATTGGAAAATGATCATCAGTAGAAGGTTTAAAATTACAAGCACGTAAAGCCCAACTTCCAATAAGAAACGACATAATACAAATTATCAATAAGCAACGAGTTGGCCATTGTTGAAGATAGATTCTTATGAGAAAGGAAAAATTAATTTTTACTTGATTAAGATAACCAAATGATCGAGACGCTGCATTACGAACCAACTGTGAATGGTACACAATACAACGGCATAATAAATAAAGACGAAGAAACACTATTTTAATAAAAATAATTTAATAATTTTTTTGTTTTTGATTAGAAATAATATAGAGATATATGATACTTACTTGGAAGACCAAGAGCAACATCAAGTGGTATATAACTTAAAGGATGACCTGATGTTGTCGTTACATTATTTTTTGCATCTAATTCTTGCATATGACTTTTTGTTGGATAGGCCAGTGGTACAGGATGAATAAAACAAATAATAACTTCAAGTAAAATAAACATTATTTTTTTAAATGTTATTCCAACACGCCAATCTTCAATGCAATTATTAACAGAATATAAAGCTAATTCCAGACGATGATAAACAAGTATAAGAACAACAAGAATTATAGTTGTCGATGTAAGTATCATTTTGATATACCAACTGGTGGGTGTATCTCTATCACAAATTTGATCGAAAGTTATTTCATTTTCAATAATCATCAATATAATACCCAACATACTGATACCACACGTAAGATCACTTACAAAAGCGCTATAATGAAGATATAAAATCTAAATGAAAGATAAAAGAAAATCAACGTTATATTTCTTACAGACGACGATGTAAATATTTTCGTGCAGATAATCGTTCACTCAAATTAGACATATAACCGTGTGTTTCGGAAGGTTTTACTGATATTGGACGTCGAGTTTTCCTTTTATTTGATAGTGGATGAGGAATCATATCTAATACTGTTGTTGGTATTGGTTCAGTATAAAATGATTCCTTACGATCAAAAGGATTTATCAATGGTTGTTTAGGATCTTGCTCTGAAGCCATTTTATGAAAAGACAATTGATTGTAATAGACTGATGATAAATTCGATTGATGTGATATTAGATTATTTTAGCTTATATGTATATATCGTATTTTTCATATAGTTATTAATCATACAATGAGGTTGATGAGGTTAAAAAAATACATGTATACCTGTTTATACCTTTCAACGATAGGTGTATAGGTAGGGATATTATGCAAATTAATAAAAACACGTGGTAAAGTAAAAAAATAATCAAAGTTTATATGGTTGGGCGTTGTCACTAATACAATCATAAACATAAAAAATAATATTAATAAAACTGATATGCGCATGGATATGACAGAGTATTATCAATATGAATGTCTACGATCGATAATAAACATTTATTTATTTTTTCATATATTAACGTTATTTTATAATGACTAAATAATATGTTTTATTTAAATACGAAGTATAAAAGCAAGATTATAAATGAATAAAAAGAAAAACGAAAAGCTCTCCCTGTCCCTATGGATATAAAAATCAATATTAACTAATTATCTTCAAAAAAATCGCTTAACCAAATATGTAAATCCATATGTTGATCAATACTATAAGAATATTGACGATGTTTACCACAATATTTTGGTAACCATTTTATAATTTGTTCTTGTAATTCTTGATTTATATGTCTAAATGTAATGTTAATTAAAGTTTTTTCTAATAATTCCATAAGTCTTCGTATATGTTCGAATATTATTAATCGTACACAAAGATATTTTATATTAGGAAACATTAAACACATTCGATCGATATTTGTTAAACAATCACATATGGTTAATGAATGTATATTATGAAAATCAAGCATTTCTAATTTACTAAATAATTTTTCAGTTATTCGAAGAGATTTTAATCGTGGCATACGATTGTATAGAATATTTATAAAATCTGGATGATGAAATTGTCCTAATCTTAATTCAGTAACATGTGTAAGATCAATACTTGTTTGAAAAAAATTTAAGAGAAATTCAACTGATAAATCACATTCATTATCAGCTAAAGTTAATGTAGAAATATTTGAAAAAAAATGAACTGATGATAATGAAAAAATATTCTAAAATAATCAAATTAATTATGTTATTTTTTTTCTTAGTTATATTAATTTTTACCTCTGTAATTAATGTGGATAAATCAATTGTAAGTCTTGTTACTTTATTCATATAAGATTCATTATTAGATATTGAAGAACGAAATTTAAGAGATGGATTCATTGATGGACGATAATAGAATTGTGTATCACAATAGGGTAATGAATAAAGATGTATCATTGAAGGATTCATTTGATAATCTAACATAACATACCAAGATTTTTGCTTAAGCCAAAATGGTGTTTGAAATGTTTCTAAAACCATTTGTTCATTAAAAACTATAGATTGAGTAGAAAAATTAAATTGAAATGTTTGAAGATTTAATGGTAAATTTTCTTCCCAAAATTGTCCATCAAACCATTGTTTTCCACTTGCGATTAATTTTAAAAATATCAGTGTTGGCATTTTATGTAATAAAATTTTTAAATCAGAATTTTTCATATTAATAAATATCGTCATAGTTAATCGTGTTAAATGAATAAGAGATTGCAAATGATTATAATTCATATGTAATGTAATTGCTGTTTCAAGTGATTTTAAATGAGGCATGTGAGATGCAATAGTTCCCAATGAAATAGTATTACATATATTATCATTAAAATAAAGATGATCTATTGATGAACTGATATTATATTCAAATATATTATTTAATATACCAGATAAATATAATCGACGAAGTGATACTGAATTAGTAATAAATGATGAAAGTAGCATACATGTTTCTTTATTAATACTTGATGGTTGACAATGAATAATTGCTAATGATTTAAGAGAATCAAATGTAGGTAAATGAATTAAGATCTTGTTTAAATCAATTGGACCTAATGGTTGACTTAATTGAAGTGATTGAAGACGAGAAAATTGTTGAATAGAAAATAATGAAAGAAATAATGAAAATTGACCTGGTGTTTCATCCATATTTGAAAGTGTCAATGAGATAACTTGACAAGGATTAATCTGATTCAATGTAATATAAAATTGTGACATACTTATAGATTGAAAATCTAATTGATATTTATCATAAGTATGTAATATTGTATTCATATATGTACTAATATTATAAAGCGAAAGATATATATCATGATATGTAAGATAATTTAAAATTTTATGAATTAATTCCATAGGTAATTTATCAAGATGAGTTACTGTAGCTATCGACGGCATTCTTGAATAGTTATTCGACTGATATTATTTATACATATATGTGTATATATTATCTTTGATAATGATAATATAGAATAAAAGCTGGTGCCAATCGAAACTTAATTTTAAATATTATTCTATTATTCAAAAGTATATCAGATATAACTGATAGAGCTCGCTGTTATACAGTATAACTATCAAATAATATGAATGACTAATAGCACTGAATAATGAACTCAAATAGTTCAAAAGTTCAATCATGTTTTTTCTAAGATAAATTTCATATGATTTATGCATTGATAAAATACGTCTAAGGTCACATTGAATTATACGAAAGTACGTTGCCTTTTTTTTGACTTAGGTGCAATAGATAAGAAATTATTTTCTTCTATATAAATATTGTTATCTTGTATATCTCAACTCAGTATTGTTATAATATATAAGAATGATGACTATGCATAAAAACGAATAAATAATATTTTATTTCGTCGTAATAAATCAAGTGCATTTTTTCATGGAAATAAAAATTGAAAATTATTATGAATATGTTAATAAAGAAAATATTGAAAAATATTTGGTATGTAATATATGTGATAAACCATTAATTGAACCTGTTATAACACCGTGTGCATATGTATTTTGTCGACGATGTATAGAAAAATCGTTGGATGATCATTGTGCACGATGTTCATCATATACAAAATCAAAGCATTTAGTAGCACTTACAGATCCTGCTTTACTTATAGAACTTGATAATATTCAAATCAAATGTAAGTTATGTGAACAAATGGACATTAGACGAGGTTATTTTCAAAATCATATTTATGAAATATGTCCAAAAGCAATTATTACATGTTCGAATAATGAAAATAATTGTTCTTGGATTGGATTACGTGAAGAACTTTCAACGCATTTAACTACATGTTCATATCAATCATCGGCATTAGACTCTCAAAGTAATTGTAGTTAAAATATATATAGGCATAATAAATATTTCGTTTTAGAAGTTATCTTAGAAGAAAAACATGGTAAATTTTTCCCATATTTAAATATCGATTTACAACAACGAAATTTACAAAACCATGACGTTGCAATTGCAGTTAAAGCTCTACTTATTAATCAACGATGTACATGTTTAGATTTATTTAATAAAAAAATTTCATCTGAAAGTGCTTCAATTATTGCTTCTGTGTTAGATAATGATATATTATTAGAAATATTAAGTTTTCGAAATAATCTTCTATGTGATTCTGGTGTTCAATTTATTGCTCATGCACTTTCAACAAATTCCCATCTTCAATTACTTGATCTTAATAATAATTCAATTACTGATATTGGTGTTCGATTATTAGCTGAAATGTTAAAAACAAATCAAACTTTAATTAAATTAACATTATCTTATAATCGAATAAGTAATGAAGGAATGACTATTTTAGTTGATGTATTAATTAATAATAATTCTACACTTCGATGGTTAAGTCTTGCAGGAAATTCATCGATTAATGATTTATCTACACATTCAATAACAAATCTACTTCGACATAATACATCATTAACAACACTTAATTTAGAAGATTGTAATCTTGCATGGTGGAGTAAAAAACAACTTTATTTCTATCAAACAATGTATTTTAAATCAGCAATAGATTTACTATTGTAAAACGTTTTATATAGACAACAAATAAATTTCATTATCAGTATATATGCTAATTTTTAAGCATAATACAGAACGAAGTTGTTCATTGATGATGAAAATTGCTTTTTTTATATTTAAGAAATTATTATGAGAAGTAAAAATATTTCATTTTGATCATATTTAATACATCAATTTTATATTTAATGTAGACAGTGTATACTGTCGCAATAGAATATCATCAGGAGTTACTCTTGACTTAAGTTCTTCACGAAAAAACGAGGATATTTCGTGAATTTCAGAAGGTCACTGTTCACCCCTTTAGTCATGTAGCAACACCGAAACATTTGGTTTTTGACTGTAATAAACGTCGTCATACTCAGGCCTTTCTCATTTATAGAATACAGATGTTTCTCGAAAAGCCTATCCGGCTTACTACTTGAATGGCCTTATTAAGGCTGTAATTCGTATATAGATTTCTACATAGTGGCGTAACCACCGGAGCAGCTCAGCTCCTGCTAGGAAACTTTGAGATTCTCCCAGACTGTTCGACACTCTTGGTTAAAAAAGTATGAAGTTGAACTTCCCTAAGACAAAATCCTGGTAAGCATGAAGCTCAACTCCCCGTGGAGCAAAATCCTGGTTACGCTACTATTTCTGCACCAATGCTTCCTCTATATCATCAAGAGAACTTCTCTCCGCAAGTTATTCATCAATTAAGATACTTGAAAAAATCGTACTATAGACCCGAAAGCGTTAATAATAAAGTTGATATGATGAATTCAATATCAACATTTACATATAGTCTGTATAATTATCTTTACACATACTTTTAACTATTTATATGAAAATATTTTCAAAGTTAGTTGACTGTTGCACTTTTTAGTAAAACATTAAGAAGAAATCATTCACTTGCTTTTTATAGACAGATTCGCCTGACATTTTTATGTATATGTTTAATGATCGATCTCTATCTATGTTTTTTTATGTGTGGAATGTAAATGAATAGTTCCTAGAGGAAAAGAAAATAAATTTGTGTGAAAATTATTAATGATTTCGAACTATTTTTTTGTTTATATCAATCAAGGCAAATAATGAAGTTGAAATAATTTTTTCAAATGATGTGTTATTTTCTTTATAATTGTTGCCTTTGGTAAAATCAAAAGAAAAAGAAATAACACATTTTTAACAGGTTAATATAATGTCAATGTTCACACATGTTTACTGACTCGTTTTAACTTAAAATGCAAATTAAAAATCATTATGAATAATAAAATACAAAGTCATAGATGGGTATATGCAATGAAAAACCAAAACAAAATACACAAAATCTTCATTCGGATTGTTTAATTCCATTTGAAGATTATGAAAAAATACCAAATGTTTCACTTGAATTAGCTATTGAACCGCTAATATCTATTTTACCTTCGATACAAACTTATGTACATTTAGTTAAACAAAAATGTATAAATCCTGCTGATGGTTTAACTCAAGATCAATCAGCATCAATTATGCTATGTACTATAAAATGGCAACCATTTGATCAATGTCTTTCAGTCGTATTAAATACAATCTTACGTTCAAACGATCGTGAAAAACTTAAACCATGGTATCTCTATTTAAAACTTTTATTAGGTGCATTAAATTGTTTACCATCAACAGATCGTATTATTTATCGTGGTATTAAATTAGATATTCGTGAACAATATTCTAAAAATAAAACAATAACATGGTTGGATTTTGCTTTATGTACGACTTCACTTGATTTATTACAATCAGATAAATATTTAGGTAAAAAAGATCAACGAACAATATTTACTATTGAATGTAATTCAAGTAAAGATATTACTAAACATTCATATTATTCAACAACAGATATGTTTATGCTTTTACCTGCGACACAATTTCAAATAGTACAATGTGTTAAACAAAAAAATAAACTTTCATGGATACAATTAAAAGAAATTCAATCACCATATGCTCGTTTACAATCAAAACCTGTTAGTTCAGAATTATCTTGTGTAAGTTTAATATAGATAAATAAGATGATTTAGGTTTTAATTTCTTCGATTAGGATTTACCTTATGTTGATAGTACTATTCCTTATATAATTTTAACAAATGAAGCTAATCAATCTTCAACAATAAATGATCCTAATCATAATCCAAAATTAGAACAATTGATTGCTAAATATCCATTGAATTCATCTATACATTTACGATTTCAACAATTAACTGATTGTGATATGAAAATAATTGTTGAAAAAGCAGTTATTGAAAAACAATGTACTGAACTTTGGTTATCGAATGCTCAGATAACATCTCAAGGTGCATTAATACTTTCAAATGGTTTATATAATAATAAAACATTAACAAAATTATATCTCAATGATAATTGTATAAATGATAGTGGTGTATATGCATTAACACGTGTACTTTCAAGAAATAATTCAACATTAAAAGAACTTTATCTTGCACGAAATAATATAACAACTAAAGGTGCACAATATTTAGCTGAAATGTTAATTACAAATCGAACAATAACAACACTTTGTTTATTCGGGAATCATATTGATGATAATGGAATTAAATATTTAACATATATTCTTACATATTATAATATACATTTAGAAGGTTTATATCTTTCAGGAAATAATGATATGACTGATATTAGTATTGATTATTTTATTCAAATGTTTAAACAAAATTGTGCATTAAAAAAACTTCATTTATTTAATTGCAATTTATCTGACAAAGGAAAAACAAAATTACGAAAAGAAATTCAAATAAAAAAATATAATTTTTTGTTACATATGTAATAAATCAATTAGTTTTGAAAATAATATAAATGAAAAAATAAATCATTGCGTCATCATTTGTTTATGATGATGATGAAATAGGTTCGAACATTAAAACTAATTTAATATTGTTCAAATTTCGTATTGAAAAAACATTAACTAGATATAAGTTTTGATCTGACACCTTACAAAGGTAAACAGCGAAAATAACATCTAGTTAATGCCTTATTCAAAACCATACAAATAAGACATCCTTTTTTCCAAAAGAAATGGTGCCAACGTGAAAATAATTACAGTTAATATCTACTTCAATACGATATGGATGTTTTCATTTAGAGAGAAATTGCTTTTTTCAAGTTGTATTTCTCATTATGAGTGGAGATGTGGATGAATCATTTCATATTATTACTCATTCATTTGTACTGGGAAAAAACCTTATCTACTTGGAGTGAACAAATAAAATGACTTTTATCTCTCTATGTCTCTTCCATGTCTTTTTAAGAGCGGAGATATGGATGAATGAATCATTTCAACTGATAAAAATTCATATCTGCTAATATATTTTCTTAAAGGGAAAAAATACAGTGATCTTTATCTATCTATGTCTCTTTCATGTCTTCTTATGAGTGCAAATATGAATGAATCACTTCATGTTATTGTTTATTTATTTGTACAGGGAAAAAA